CTTGTGTTTTCTAATGTATGGGATCATGCCCAGACATCTGTTAGCGGTCACAATTATTATGTCAGTTTCATTGATGCTTACAGCCGTTTTACTTGGTTATATCTTATTAAACGTAAGTCTGATGTGTTCGATGTCTTCATTCAGTTTCAAGCACACGTTGAGCGTCTTCTTAAGCAGAAAATCATCCATGTCCAATCCGACTGGGGGTGAATACCACAACCTCAACTCGTATTTTAACAAACTTGGGATTTTGCACCGCGTGTCATGTCCTCATACACATCAGCAGAATGGTGCTGCCGAGCGTAAGCATCGCCACCTTGTTGAAACTGGTCTAACCTTGCTCGCTCATGCCTCCATCCCGTTTCGGTTCTGGAGTGATGCTTTCTCCACAACTTGTTTTCTCATAAACAGGCTTCCCTCGAGACTTCTGAAAATGCAAACACCTCTTAAACTTCTGCTTAATGAGATTCCAGACTACACATTCTTCAAAGTGTTCGGTTGTGCATGTTGGCCTCACTTACGCCCATACAATAAACGCAAGCTAGAGTTTCGGTCTAAGAAGTGTGTTTTTATCGGGTATAGTTCTCTTCACAAAGGGTACAAGTGCTTGCATGTTCCTACCAACTGCGTCTACATCTCTCGTGACGTGGTGTTTGATGAAAATGTTTTCCCTTTTCGTGCACTTCCGACTAACTTTACCACTTGTACACCACCGGTGCCCGTGTCCACACCTACGCCTGATCAATTTGTGGATGTTGCATATGCCCCTGCGTTGCTTCCTAATCATGCTGCAGGTATTGGACGCGGTGCCCGGCTCGAGCTACTTGATGAACAGGTCACCGATGAGCTTCCTGGTCGGGACATGCATGCGCCATGCATGACGGGCGGCACCCGCCAACCCGTCCCTATCTCGCCTGCGGAGTCTCCCCCGACTGCCTCGCCGGTGCCGGGTCAGCCTGGCTCCACGCTGACCCCGTCTGACCTCACGCTGGCCCCACGGGCGCTGGGCTCGCCAGCGCCAGCCTCGCCTAGGTCGCTGGCCTCGCCAGCGCCAGTTTCACGTGGCTCGCCTGGGCCACTAGCGGGTCTCTCGCCTGGGTCGGCTGCTGCTGTCGCTAGCCCGGAGGTCCCGTCACCTGCTCCGGCCCGGTCCGCCTTGGTGCCAGGGTCACCGACCAGCCCTGCTTCGGTCACCGGTGAGCCCGACTCGCCCGACTCGGTGTCGGCCTCGTCAACATCCTCTGCTGCATGGACTTTGCCGTCAGTACCTGCTGTCACTCTTCGTCCTCGCACACGGAGCCAGTCCGGTGTTTTTTGTCCAAAGGAGCGGACGAATGGCACGGTTGCGTGGCTTGCTGCGTGCATGGCTCACACTGCTGGCGATCCCATTGCAGAGCCTCGTCACTTTCAGGCTGCACTAAGTATTCCTCATTGGCATGCTGCAATGGAACAAGATTTTCAGGCCCTCCAACAGAATGATACTTGGCGTCGTGTTCCTCCAGTGTCTGGCGTCAACGTCATTGATTCCAAGTGGGTTTTCAAAGTCAAGAGACATGTTGATGGCTCCATTGAACACTACAAGGCACGGTTAGTTGCCAAGGGCTTCAAACAGAGGTATGGTCTTGATTATGAAGACACTTTTAGTCCAGTCATCAAGCCTACTACCATTCGATTACTACTGTCTCTTGCGGTTACTCGCGGATGGTTCCTTCGTCAGCTTGATGTGCAGAACGCTTTTCTACATGGCATTCTGGAGGAGGAGGTTTATATGCGTCAGCCACCTGGTTTTGTTGATCCGACACGACCTCATCATCTCTGTCATCTGGTTAAGGCACTGTATGGACTCAAACAGGCTCCTCGTGCATGGCATGCTCGCCTTGGATCTGTTCTTTGGGCTCTTCGGTTTACTCCCTCCACTGCTGATACATCACTGTTTCTCCTCCAGCACCCTGAGGTTACGATGTATCTCTTGGTTTATGTTGATGATATCATCCTCATCAGTTCCTTTGCTGCTGCTACTGATCGCCTTGTGATTGCTCTCCGTGATGATTTTGCTGTCAAGGATTTAGGTGCTCTTCATTTTTTCCTTGGTCTTGAGGTTTCACGGTCCTCTGCTGGTTTGACTCTCACTCAGAAAAAGTACTCCTTGGACTTGTTGCGTCGTGCTGGAATGCTCAAATGCAAACATGTTAACACTTCGATGTCTGCCACTGATTGGTTGTCTGCTCTTGATGGTGACTCTCTCTCGTCTGATGATGCTACCGAGTATCGCAGTCTCGTTGGTGGTCTGCAATACCTTACTATTACCAGGCCTGATATCTCCTATGCAGTCAACCATGTCTGTCAGTTTTTGGATGCACCCAGGACGTCTCACTGGTCAGCTGTGAAGCGTATTTTGCGCTATGTCAGTCTTACCGCCTCCTATGGTTTGCTTCTTCAGTCTGCACCGTCGTATGAGCTCTCGGCTTTCTCTGATGCAAATTGGGCTGGTAGTCCGGATGACAGGCGATCCATGGGGGGTTATGCGGTATTTCTAGGTCCTAACTTGATCGCCTGGAATGCTCGCAAGCAAGCAACTGTGTCTCGCAGTAGTACTGAGGCTGAGTACAAAGCTGTTGCTGATGCAACTGCTGAGATCATATGGGTACAGTCTCTGTTGAGAGAGCTGCGTGTTCCTCAAGCTCGTCCTCCGGTCCTGTGGTGTGACAACATTGGTGCTACATATCTTTCTTCTAACCTGGTGTTTCATGCTAGGACAAAACACATTGAGGTGGATTATCACTTTGTTCGGGAATGTGCTGTACAGAAGCTACTCTGTATCAAGTTCATCTCATTAAAGGATCAACTTGCTGACATCTTCACGAAGCCTCTTCCACAACCACAGTTTGTAGGCTGTAGGCGCAATCTTAACTTGCTTTGTACTTCAGGACATAGCTAAGATTGAGGGAGAGTGTTAGACTATATATACGTAGCCTTTGTATATCTGTACTATAACATTGTATTGTACCCCTTGGGTACCTCTATATAATGAGATAGCCACACCCCGGGTTAGGGGTGTCGTGCAGTTCCCAAATCATATGTCTTACAGCTCTAAGGCCAACTCGAATGCTAGACCCCAAACAGACGTCCGGTTTTTGTCCGTTTGGGGTGTGATTTGGGCGGCGGCCGGGGGTGGACAAGCGCATGGAGCATCTCTGTCCAACGCGCAGGAGGCGTCCCGACCCCAAACAGATGCACCACGCCCCATCCCGAGCTCCTCCACCTCGCCGCGACCCCGCCCCGCCATGGTTCGGCTCGCCGCTCTCCTCCTCGCATGGACATGACCGGCCGCATGTCCTTCGACCTCTCCGAGGTGCCGGTCCGTGGGCTGTCGGACGCCCGGTTGGCCCCCGAGTGGTACATGCTCGATGACAAGCGCGGGGAGAAGCTCCACCATAGCGAGATCATGCTGTCGGTGTGGCTCGGGGCCCAAGCTAGTGTACCTCTGTGTTGCCGCCATCAGGGCATCAGACCTCGTGCCCCACAACACGTCGGGCCCCATGAACGCCTCCGTCAAGCTGCAGCTCACCCGCGCGGCGCTTGGCAAGCCCTTGCTTGTCACCGTGGAAGACTGCGCCGGGCCAGGCTGCGACGAGCCGCTCGCCCGCGCCATGCGTACGCCACACCCGTCCTCCTCAGCAGCTCGCCCGCGCGTGCAACACCACCATGAATAGCGCCGGGAGTAACAATGGCAACATCGGCATTGAGAGCAGCAACAACACATGGGCGTTGGAGTAGGATCCGAGCAGCAGAAGCCTGCCGGTGGCGGAGTCGGCGTCGAGGGACAACTCCAGAAGGCGGCCGTGGCGATTTCCGGTTGCGCCGACTGGTGCGGCTGGGCGGAGGACGGCAGTGGGCGGCGGGCACGGGGAGCTAGGAGCACTCCTTGTGTGGCTTGGGCCACTGATATGTGGGCCACGGGCGGACAGAAGCGGACGAGAGAGGGTGAGGAGAGCGTCCGTTCGTGTCCGTCCAGACGCATTCATGGGCCAAATTTGCTCCAAATTTGGGGTCGGGTGGACAAAAAACGGACATCACCGGACCACTTTGTTTGTTTGGGTATGCCTGTTGGGCCGAGTTTTGGCCCAAACGAATGAAACCGCACGATTTGGAGTCTAGCGTTGGATGCAGCGTCTTTGTAAAGTCTAGTTTTCCTTTACGGATGGAGTAATCAATTGTTCTTATATATTTCGTAGGAGTTTTCTGTAATATATTTTTTTTTCAAAAAGGGGGAGGAGTTTTCTGTAATATATATCACACAATCATCAAATGATGTATTTTTATAATTTGATTTCCAATGGGATGTGCAATGGGACTTTAACCAACATTTCGAATTTCATTTGTATGTGTTGTAACATGTCATGTTGATATCCGGGCATATGTAACTTGCTAGTGGATCTACAAAGAGAAACATAGCATATTTCTGAAAACCAGTTACGTCGGCCAGAATGCTAAAAAGAGGAGAGATGGCCGACAACAAAAGCCAAGATAAAAATGGTATTATTGCCGAAAAGGAGGAGAGGTGGCCAACAACAAAACTAAGGAGAAAAGAACATCCATTACTATAAGATCTAGATCAAATTTGCTTTACTGCTTTAGGCAAGATGCGTGTATCACTGTCGGACGGTCAAATCAAGCTCCCAAAATTAGATCACAAAACGAATGGAACAACTTTCTAGATTTTTTTTTTAGAGAATCTAGTTTTTTCTAGACGATGGAATGGAACAGGGTTTCTAGTCGTTTTACGGGGTACAAGGTATGGGCCAACAGTGTATGCCTAAATGGGCCCCGAATCGTCTCGCTAGCCCATACAACAACCTTACGGCCCTGATTCCCTGAAGGGGGGTCTTCCAGAGAGAAACACGGAACGGAAAAATGTTGACTAACCGGTGGACCCCACACGACAGAATAAAACGGCACCCTCCCGGAACACCAGTTTCAGTTTTCCCACCGCACCACAGATGTCGTCCGAAACCGCCGTCTCGCCGCAGCCGCTGTCCTCCAGCCCACCAACCGCCGCCGTCTCCGCCCATTCCGGCCCCGCTCCCCCGGCCGACGAGCCGGAAGCTCCAGCCCCTCCCCAACCCCCGCCGCACCATGCCTCGCCGTTGCCAGCCCCCTCCGTGTCCGACGAGACGGACGCCCCGACCCGTCCCCAACCCCTGCCGCGCCACCCCATCGCGTCCTCCTCCTCCCCATCCACCGCGGCCGGCGAGACGCAGGGCCCAGTACACCCCCCGCCCCAACCCCAGATGCACCAACCGGCGTCGCCGTCCCCTTCCTCGGCGGAGCCGCAAACCCCTGTCCAGCCCCAACCGAACCATTCGTCGCCGCCTCTCTCGGGGGACGACGACGATGAAGACGTGGTCATCACCGGCGCGTTATCTGGGGCGGGCGGCGCGGCTTCGTCCGCGGTCGATGAGCGAGTGAAGGGGCCGTGGTCGCCCGAGGAGGACGCGGTGCTGACCAATCTGGTGATGAGGGACGGGGCGCGGAACTGGACGATGATTGCGCGCGGGATCCCCGGGCGCTCCGGCAAGTCCTGCCGCCTCCGCTGGTGCAACCAGCTCGATCCTCAACTCAAGCGCAAGCCATTCACTGGTACCTTCTCTTTTCATCCATCTACTGCTATTTGTGCCCCCATTTCCTGTGGGATATGTATTCAGGTGCCAAATAGCTAACCAAAATCCTAGAACTTGTTTTGTAATGCAACGTGTAAGGTACATTATCGGTTTGTTGTTAGAATTATGGACATGATACATAATGCATTATGCGCTTAATTGATCTTAGATGTTATGTAGCACATCTCTCCTACTTGCTTGCTAAATCTGTGATAATTTGGATGCAGAGGAGGAGGACCAGATGATAATATCTGCTCATGCAATTCATGGGAACAAGTGGGCATCTATCGCGAAACTATTGGTTGGGAGAACCGACAATGCAATCAAGAACCACTGGAATTCTACTCTGAGGCGTCGGTACTGCACCGGTACCCGATGCACACGAAGTGCTTCTGCGGAGCAACCTATGAGAGAGATGTCCAGGGCAGTTTCAGAAGAACGGTGGCCATTGTCCGGTCCTAGTTCCTTCAGTGTTATGGAAGTAAAGGAAGCTCCTGTGCAAACAGTATCTGAAAGCTCAGCTGGGGCATTGCAAATCAGAGATATTAACAATTGTAGCACTGAAGCTGTTGATCGATCCTACCCGGTGCGACCAGTGGCTACGGTTGGTGCTTTCAGACCATACAGTCTAGGACCTGTTCAACAGATGCAAATGGAAATGTCGAGCTCTACCAAGTTTGTTCCAACCATTCAGGCTTTGACGCCTGAAATTGCGGTCTCCAAGTTTGCTGATACTACATGCTTTGCTGCTGATGTGCCAAACAAATGTGGCCATGGTTGCTGCAGCGCTGAAGAGCAACCTCGTAACAACTCATTGTTGGGACCTGAGTTTAAAGAGTTTATAGACCATCCTCCAATTTTGAGCAGTAGTTTTGCTTCGTTGGTATCTGAAATCAGCAGCATTGCCTGGATGAACGGTGGTCTGCAAAGCAGTAACTCTGGCAACTTAGTGCAGTCTAATCCTCCAGCGCCTGACAAATTAGGAATCGTGTGAGTTGGAATACTGAAAAATTGGAGTTGTTACTTTTGGACATAATGAAGTCAACCATGATTATAATCTTCCCGAGGTGCGTGCTCCATAGATTCCAAGGCATGTGTTACTTCCAGCTTTTATTATATGTTTTCATACTTCTCACAGGTCCTTAGTATTGCTCATTCACACTGCATCACACGTGTAGGTAGCTGGATGTGATTGTTGCGTTATAAGGGGACCCTAAAACTAATTGCGTTCCATTTCAAATGTATTATGTCATGCTGCCAATTATACACCTGCGCCAAATACTTAGACTCCCTATTTCCTTTTTCCTGGCAATGGCCGTGAAATCGGCATTTTCCTATGATGAAGCTATCACAAGTTTGGCTTAATGGAATAGACCAAAATATTTTGCGAGTGAATTGATCATGTAAGGGAACAAATGTTGAAATACGTTTGTTTGTAGCAAGCATAAGTGATTGGTCATAATTAGATCCCAGCGAACTGAAGCTTAATTATTGTTGTCTTGCATATTAACCATCATTGAGCTTTTAGTCTTTTACTATATGAAAGTAATTGAATAAGTAGATCCACCTGTTACGTGTGCACTTTAGTTCATTTATTACCCAGCAGTCCTATCGTATATGTACTATTAACCGAACACGTGTAGTGCACGTTCGGGAGGGGGTGCGTCAGCATGATTCAGAAGGAGCCAATGGTGGGTAAATTGCAGCAAGTCTAGGGTATTAGGTGTGTTGTGCTGTGCAAAACATGGAATCAATCTGGTCCGCCATATGCAGATGGTTGAGCTGTTAGGAGGATTTGGATCAGCCACGTCTGGTGCTTTTTTTTATATTAATGGAGATATTTTATTGTGGTAGGCGTCTTCCCATAATATCAGTGTGTTCTAGTATAACGAGCGAACATTACATGATGTGTCTTATGGCGTGATGTCCTGTGCGCCGTGCGATTGGGCGCGCGGCCATGCACGCTCTTGAGATGGTAACAACACTAGCTGACGTGGCAAGTATGAACTGGGCTGCGCTTAGCGCATTGGTGCTGTAATGCCATTCTAAAATCAATGTCTCGGTTAACAACATGCCTTTTAGGAAAGATATAAATCTGGAATGGTGTTGGTAGCAGCAACCATCGTTTCATGCCTCTGTAGTGTTTCTGTATGAGCCATCTTAGTCGGAATCAAGTTTCGCTGTTTGTTTGTATTGCTGTCTGTTCTGGTTTCTGGTTGACCGGTGAAAAGCTAGGTTCATGTTGTCCAGATTACTCTTTTAACTGTTGAAGACAACCAGATTCTTGAGGTGTCTTAATTGCAGTTATAGGTTATATGGAGTTGATGAAGATGCTTTGGTCATGTCTAACTGGTTAGTACAGTCATGGTAGATGTTTAATTGGTTGGGCATGCTCCATGAGTTTGTCTATTCTGCTTTGCAGATCTTAGTATAGTCATGTCCGGATATCCCTGCTTCTCTCTCTTTCAAGTTTCTACTCCCTCCGTTCGGAATTACTTGTCTCGGAGATGGATGTATCTAGAACTAAAATACGTCTAGATACATCCATTTCTGCGACAAGTAATTCCAAACGGAGGGAGTATTTCTGACCATCTATTGCCCTGGTCTGATTAAGGCAATTCATAATTGGAAGCTCGTGTATGTTGTGACCTTGTTTTACATGACAGCAGCTCTGTCTGTCCAAATTCAAACTGTGGCTTGTATGCTAGTACCAGTATCATTGAACATGACCAGTATTTGGAATATTTGTTCTCTCTTCCCTCTCTGGTGGACATTTTCCTTCGTAGCACCATAGTCTATTTGTTTTCCTTTTGAGGGATGGGAAACAGTTGCTGCCAATCTTATTTTGTACTGATTGGTGTTTTTTCAACGTTCGTCTTACCGCTTACCTTACATTGTTTCTTTCGGTAGGGTCTTGGGTGTACAACCTATGGTTTCTTGACCTATTTATGGTGTTACTGGACCTTTTATTTGCCTCTGCCCTAGATCTAGGTCTCATCGAAAACACTATAATCTACAAGCTTCCTGGAAGCTCTTGCCTGTAGTTCCTATAGAGTACTAACTATCTGGACCTTGTCATTTTCACTTTTCCTACCTCGGTCATCAGGTTTAGTAGTTCCTGTGGCTCCATTTCCGTAGGCATTTGGTGTACAAAAGCTCTGATCTACAATACTAATAATTTTAAAGTGCTAGACAATCAACAAAAGCCTAAAATGAACTAGTAATACCGCATCGTCTGCCTCTTTGTTATTTACCTAACTGAGAGGACTGGCACCTGATCATTTTGCCGTATCTGTTTTCAGGTCTTCAAATCAGGCGTGGATGTTGTTGCTCAAGGCGGAGAAAAGTGCTGTGCTCCCTGCTCCTTGGATCATACTTTAGTACAGTCGTTTCATCATTAAAGTTGCCCCTAACCTGACGCTTGTCACCAGCTGGCCGGTTCCCCGGGACCCTACTTGTCTCAATTATATGATGCATGGCTCACTGAATTGGTGATATAAAGATTCTGTACCTCGTGGGGGCAGCCATAGATGCTGATGGGATGCGATTCGGTGCATCCTAATATCCTGTGAGGCTCACAGCTTATTACTAGGATTCAGATTTGTTGGATTGGGTTCTGCTCTTGCCAGCCTTGCTGATTCGACGGTGGCTCGCATGTCCAATTTCTTAATTGCAGGACTGGATTTTTTTTTCTGTATATTTGTTGAGAGAACGCTTGAACTCTTTGAAACTGTAAAAAGAGCTTCACCGCTCATATTTTTCTCTGGGGTCCGTCTTTGTGATTTGATTCCTGAGTGTTCCTGCCTTGGTGTTTGCGTGTGTTCCTGCCTGCAGGTTTGATGGAACCTCTGCAGTCCTGCACGCACGCGCATGATACGATTTGGGGTAGCCAATGAACGGCGATGGCTTGTTTGGATCTCTGATCGCCATACTGTTTCAGTTAGTTTGTTCATCAGGTGTTTTGTGCGTCGTGGTTACCGGCTTCTGCGTATGCCGAGCGAACGGCAGGAAGACATGACGAGCATCAACTTTTCCTGAATGGTGTCGATACGGTCCAGCTCGGTCTTGCTTTGAACGCGCTGAATCAAATCCTTCGTTGAGCTGGGTAGAGCCGAGGCCACGGTGCAATGCCAGGCTGCGGCGAATGATCATGGCGTTGGCGTCGTCTCTACGGCGAAACCGCCCAAGGAAGTCGCCACATTTTTCTTCTTTTGAGACGTGAACGCAATGGTTGTTATTCAGAATCGCAATGTTCGGAAACTTTGTGGTTGTGGAGCGAAGCCTTGCCGATTTGCGCGAGTCCGTCGAGAATTAACGTACTTTGCCATCTGGTTAAAGCGTTTACAAAAGTAGAGATTGTTGTTGATCGATTGGTTCACTAGGTTATTAGGGTTTTTGCGTGAGAAACTTTCAATCTAGTCATTTCCAATCATAATAGTACAAAGAATAACTGAGGTAATAAAAATTACAATCATGTCCGTGTACCATCTAGCAAGGACTAGAGCAAGCTGAAAGCGCGCCGACATCATCGCCTTTTCCTTGCTGAAGCGGCGCAAACCTTACTATAGTAGACAATCGAGAAGTCGTCATGCTAACACCCCGTAAGGCCAGCGCATCAGAGCGCGATGAAGAAAGTCGTAGATCGGAAGCATCAAACTAGTAGACACTCAAACCAAGACGAATGGAGACTGGATTCAAACAAATCTCAAATTCTATGAGGTCTGACAAAGACACACCAGAGATTAACTAGAGTTGACAACAGAATAATGATGCCCGGCCGAGACAATTTGTCCCGTGTGATTGTTCCCAAAACATTCTAGTGACAACAAGATGTACAAGCCAACTCGGTCAAAAATGCCGCAACATGCATCATCGCTAAATGGTGTTGAACTATCGGAGTTGCATGCCTTAGAGCATCTATAATCCGGCATCCTAAATCCTCTTTAAAAATCCAGGGCGAGATGGGCGCATAAAACCGGCCTCAAACGCTCGAACTGACCAGCACCCTTCATATCCAAATATAGGGCGATATTGGCGCGTCCGGACGCGTCCGGTATGTTGTACTGATGATAGGGAACGAAGCAAAAAAATTAAAAAATTCCTATGAACACCCAACATCTAATCTAGGAAATGCAAAGCAACGAGAGGGGAGTGTGCTTACTTACCCTTGTATAGACAGAAAGCGTTAGTGTCGTAACGCGATTCATGTAGATGTACTCTTCATGATCCAATCCGATCTAGTGCGAAACGGACGACACCTCCGAGATTAGCACACATTCAGCTCGATGACGTCCTCTCCTTCTTGATCCAGTAAGCGAGGAAGAGGAGGTAGATGAGATCGGAACTAGCACAGTGGTATGATGGTGGTGGCAGCAACGGAATTCTGACAGGGCTTCGCCTAGCGCGTACGAGAGAAAAGGTGGGATGAGTTGAGAGAGACGGAGGGCAAGGTGGAAGGGTGCAACCCCCACGCCCCTCCCATATATAGGGGTGAGCTGGCGTCGGCCCTAACCCCTCTTCCAAGGGAGGGGCGGCAGCCTAGGAGGGTGGAGTGCCCACCAAGTCAGGTGGGGCGCCTCCCACCCCTAGGGTTTTCTAGTGAGGGGGGGGGGGGTTGGTGCACCTGGCCCAACTAGGCCAGGGTGCCCTCCCCTACGGCCCACGCGGGTCCTCGGGGGTAGTGGACCCCCCTGCCCCGGTGGACCCCTGGAACCCTTCGGTGCCTCTGGTACACTTGTCGGCATATGCCCCCGAACTTTTTCGGTAGCCAAAACAGGACTTTCCATATAAAAAATATTTACCTTTGGATCATTTCGGAGCTCCTCGTGATATCCGGATCCCATTCGGGACTCCAAACAATGTTCGGACTTTTCACTATTAATATCTCATTACTACCCTAGCACTATCAAACTTTAAGCGTGCGACCCTACGGATTCGGAACATGCAGACATGATCGAGACTCCTCTCCCATCAATAACCAATAGCGTGGCCTAG